AAAATTACTCGCAGCCTGATGTAATGATTTGTTAATATCTTGATTTGCTTAGTATGAAGGATTTAAATTAATATAATTTTTACTTGTAATCTTGAACTAATTGAATTGAAAAGACAAAACTCGGTTATTGTTCTGTATAAATTCAGTGATGTAAAACTTTGTTTACTAAAGATTAAAATTATGCAACTGACTGTTAATTTGTGCACGAAAATATTTAGTTCTGCCCTTAACCGAACACAATGCAGAGAGAATTTTTAAAATCGGTTCATCAATAACGGAGTTCTGAACAGTAAAGAACATACAATTGAATAAAAAATATCCCTTTTGAAGTAGTTTGAAAAATTGCCCGTGTGCTAAGCAAAATTATCTTTTAAATGGAAAATATGAATTCTAACCGTGTAGTAGAAAATTTAAGAGCTTTTTTCTAAACAACTATTCAGTGAAATTTAATTTCAAAGATTTAAAAATAATGACTATTGTGATAAAAATATATTGTGTAACAAATAATAATACGTGTAGGTTTCTAACATATCGTTAACATTAAAAAACTACTGATTCTATTTTCCAGAATGGGAAGGATGAAGTAAAAATATTGCCATTTATATCGTTAAGCTTAATTATACACCATGCGTAAAAGTTAAATTCGATCCTGCTTTTGTAATACACAAAATTTATACAAAAACACAAAACCAAACATGTTCGGTTTTCATAAACAACAACTTTTTGAGTTTCTGTTTGTGTTGTGCTTATATTAAAGCTAAATTAAAAACAAACATCAGTGGAAGTAATTAACTCGTAACCTAACCAATATTTCACGATTTATTGAAGTGAAATCGTCACCAGAATTGTCTTAATAAGCCCAGATTTAAAACAAATCCCCGGAGTTTTCCCGCGAAATAAAATTAGCCGAAAAAGGCAGCGCCATTAAAATTACATTAGCATAAATAAGAGGAATGCTAATCTGACGAAATAAATCTTGGTCCGAAAAAAAAATAAGGCAAATGGCCATTCGATGTCTTTATATCCAAGGTTTTACATGCGACGTGGTCATTTAATAATATATTTATTATATTAATTACATCAGCCCGCTAGTAATTTATTAACCTTATTTTGTTACAAAAAGGCAAGATATACGTATTGCTTTATAAAAATAAACTTTCATGGCTGTGCCATTAATTTTTCCTGAGATAAAATGTATCTCAGGTGGTAGGGCCACGCAGCAACCTCGGAATGTTGCAGGAATGGGCAGACTCGTCCGGTTAAGTACCACCACCTCACAGAAGACCAGCGTAAAGTGGAAGTATAATACTTTTGCGTTTCGTCTGGTGAGTAAGGTGGCTGGAGCCTAATTTTCAAAAGGTTGTCAACGCATCTGAAACCCTCGGGTGTAGCAGATGTCCATGGGCGGCGGTATTCACTTAACATCAGGTTAACCGTCTGCTCCTAACTTTTCACATAAAAAAATATCTTATTAACTCAACTTCACTGTGCCAAATCATTGTTCAGAGATTTTATCAGTATTGTATTCGTTACGAAATAAGTTGCCCACTGAGCGACGAAACGCTTACAAAAATATCCAATATTAGTAGGCTTTTCGTTGAATCTATATTTCCAGATTCAGCAATTGTCTTCCCTCCGGTGTGTTCACGTATTACGTCGAATCCAATTCACCCTTAGGTATTTCACCTATGTACTATAGCAGGTATTTCTTGAGCAAGGATCGATGTAAGTAAGCTTGGGAGAGATGGCGTAATATCACAACAGATGTTGGCGACGGTTATGCCAACTGGACGTCCATTCACAAAACTAATAAAAGATTCAGCAACGTCGTTACCCAAAAGAGGGTTTTTCTAGAGCGGTGACGATCAGTCCGTATAATGCTCTTTATTTGTGATTAAAGTCGGATTACATTAATAATGATCGTAACTCATATAGTATCAAAAAATAAAGGCTATGTTTCACACAATGAAAATGGAGAGATTAGACGTTGTAAAACAAACCAACAAATTGAATACCTTATATAATATTATTTAAAAGGAGTAGCAACTGTTAACGCGTCATGTAATCAAGTTAAAAAATGAAAAGAAAACGTAACATGGAAAAGTAACGGAATAAAGTATATATCAAATAGAAATTGGCAATTCCGGATAGGGAAGGTTCGCCCAATAAAGTACGTGAGGCGGTCAAAAACAAACTTGTGCAATAAATAACCCGATCGGATAAGAGAAAGGTAAGGTACGCACTCAGCCATTTTATATTCAATAATAAAAATAAGATAAACTAAATCGTGTTACAGTTTTGTCACACAATTTATGGCGTATAAACGACCTTTATTTTCCCCTATTACTTAAAGCATGTTTTAAGTTAAACCGCAGGAAAGATTAAATTTATTTCAAATTAAAGTCAGAAACTTGTTCAATTTCAGTAATCTATATACTTATTAAAATATATGAAACTTATGTTCTAAAAATAATAATCAACCTCTCATTAACGTAATTTAAACTAAAGTACCACAAAATTGTAGTGAAAACATTAAGTCTTTTTATTTTATGCAGTAATATACCACACTTTACTTATTTACATACTGTTTCAAAACCCGAAAGTTTTATGTCGGAACTGTAAAATGGAACCCTTAAATTCAATTTTAAAATGTAATTATAATTAGGTATCTGCAAAGCAGTGTTACAATAAAGTGTCAATCTACCTAATTCCAAATTTAAAAGTTTCAAATTATGTTTGTAAAACTGCCAGACCTTCGTAAAATTAATTGCACAGATTGCTATTAATTCGTTTTAATCATGATTTTCAATTCTGAGTAATAATCAAATTTTATGTTATGATTATGGAAAATGACATGAAAGGATGTTTCATAATAATAATGAAATTCAAAGTAAGTATTTAAGAAAGTAAATATTTACATATGAAACAATTATTTACTATTTTGTTCATTACGAATTTAGCTGATTAATAAAATTTATCAAGTTTTTTTTTAATTTCCTCTCATAATTACTGACACCAGCAGAAGCAGAACTCGATTTTTTTATGTATGAATACGTTTATTATTATCTTAATGGCATAATTGTAAATATCACGGTTGACATCTCGTATGCAACGTGAATGTGAATAGAACATAAGACCTATCTACTTCGTTACATGTATCTCTATGTGAGATGTAAAAGATTAACGTTACTAAAAGACGTTTAACATTATTCTAAGAATCTTGCTATAAAGATATAGATCATAATCACTATATTTTTTATAACACTAAAGTTCATAGCTTCGAAACAAATAATATAACATATATCGGTAAGCGGAGTGGAAATTAGCCTTTTTACATTATATAATATGCAATTGTAATTTAATAAGAAATAAAATATTATAAAATATGCACAGATTTATGTATTCATTATCACACTTACATAAAATAATGAAAAGATTAGCGTAGTGGATAGTGGACCTGTCTCTTGTCTCAGAGGGTGTGGGTTCGATCCCCACATGATTTGGGTGTTTATCACTTCTTCTTCTTCTACCTAGCATTTATCCCAGCAATTGCCAGGGTCTGCTTTCCTACTTAATCTTCTCCACTTTGCCCGATCTTCGACATCCTCATGGGTCAGTCCATTGGCTCTCATATCCTGCTTCACAACGTCCAGCCATCACTTCCTTGGGCGGCCAGGAGTTCTAGCTCCTGGGACAGGCATATCAAGGCATATCCTTCCGACATATTTTTCCGACCGGCGTGCGACATGGCCATACCATCTCAGCCGCCGCTCTTGGAGCTTATCCGCTACGTCACGGACCCCGAGACTGCCTCGAATGAATGTGTTACGTATGCGGTCAGCAGGCGTGACACCGCACATCCATCTTAGCATCTTCATCTCCGAGACGTGAAGCTCTTGAGTGTGCCGAGATAGCGCTGGCCAGCACTCGCTACCGTACAGAAGTACAGGCCGGATGATGCTCTTGTAAACCTGTCCCTTCAGCTTGGGTGGTATCCTGCGGTCGCAGACCACACCGCAGACAGGCAATGACCTCTCGCCACTTAGCCCAAGCAGCGCGTATCCGGGCTTGGACATCATGGTCGATGCTTCCGGACTCGTGCAAAACAGATCCAAGGTACCTGAACGATTCCGACTTAACGGCTGGTTCAGTACCTATTTGGATCGTGCTGGAGTCCGAACTCCCGCAAGCCATATACTCGGTCTTCGCCACATTGAGTTTAAGACCGCCGTTCTCAAGCGTACCCTTCCAGAGATTTACTTTTCGCTCCAGTTCCAGCCGGCTCTCGTCAACGAGCGCTATATCATCGGCATACATCATCAGCCATGGAGGCTGGTCCTGTATGTGAGCCGAGATCACATCTAGCACTACGTCGAACAAGAACGGACTAAGAGCTGAGCCCTGATGTACCATGTATTTGGGTGTTTATCACTATATACTAAAAAACAAAATCGACCCGCTGTCAGTCTCTCCCTATGTATGCTTAGATCTTTAAAACTACACAACGGATCTTGATGTGGTTCAAGAGGAAAGTTTTATATGTATAATACATTGCACCCGTGCGAAGCCGGGGCGGGTCGCTAGTTTATCTGTAGTATGTATTTATTTACAAAAATAAGCATGTTTATTGTTAACCTAGTAACTATAGTACAAGATTTGCTTACTTTGGTACTAGATAGAGGTGTATAAATATCTTCTGAAATATTTATTTAATTAAAAGCCCAGCCTAACCCCGTCGGAAAAGTCTAAGCGGCTATGATTTACGGGGGCTTAGTTTTTAAGCAATTATTCCATATGAACTTTAAACCTCATCTCAAATTTCTCCCGTCCTCCCCTTGTAATATTAGTGAAATGACGAGAATAAAGTGTAACACCTTAAGACTCTATGGATGAAAATGAAAATGGAAATTGAGAATGGACAAATCAATAAAATTCAAATTAAAGACTTACCCATGAAAATGTGAATTGAACAAAATCCAGTGTGATGTGCGCTTAAAGAAATGAGTTCTTTAAAGTGGATTCAGTTGCTAGTCATTCTGGCGACATGCTGTGCCGAAGAAGGAGAGTGGAGTGAAGACGCGGAGGACTTAGGTATGATTTTTAAATTTTAGTATACTTTTGTATTTTATTTTAGTATTTTTTGGAACTTAATAATTTTAAATGCCACGAAACAATACTTCCGATCGTAATAATCTCATTATTATTATAAAATGTTGGCACACTTTCACTTGAAGACCGCTCATTGATACTCGAAATACTTAGGGTGATGTGTGTGTACGTGTGCTCTTAATATTTGATTAGGAGGGCCCTCTTCCATCTCATCCACCTTACGAAGCACGAAAGCGTAAATATGTTAACTTAACGGCGGTTTTCTGTATATACACAATCATATATATTAATAGTGACTATTTTAAAATTCCATACATAAGTTTAGTCAATATTAAGTGCGACAAAAGTCGTCCAAATTTAGGAATGCTTCTTGTTTATTAAATGATTTTTTATAAATGAAAGCTTGTAAAAGCTTTCATTTAGTTTTAAGACTAAAAATATTGATGGGATAAAAACCAAGAGAGTACAGTTCTATGGATGTGTGCTTAAGCTTAGATACTTTAAATTACAATTAATGTTGAAACGTTGCAATTATATTATTCCTCTCACACTTATAAGCATACATAAAAACAATACGATAAGTGTGCATACATAGTAGCATTTATTAAGTGTTTATTTCTTATGGCGCGTTTGAAAAAAATTATGAGATCAATATTTTTACGATGCGTGCGCACGCCGACAGTGACATAAAGTTGCCGACAGTTGGTTGCAAATCGACCACGGTATTACCATGACTACTAATAACAACTTTTTGACATTTATCTACCTATAATTCCAAGCTATTTTTTAACCGTTATCAATTGCATTTAATGTCTTTTGCACAAACAGAATACTGGCATAGGGGATAAAACTTATAGTTATTTTTCTCGCCCTAAAGAAGTATAACTTCTTAAGTGCGTACATAAATACACATTATTTTTTATTTTAAGCGTGCGTACATGAATATACAAATCTAATCCAAGTTTATAGTCACAAAAAACTATTAGTAAGGGCCAAAATTCGTCGTCTTAATTTGAAATTAGTCAATTGGTCTGATTGGCCAAGAAATGTTTAGAAATGAAAGAAAATTATTCTAGATTCCTTCTGATTTATAACTTGGAGCTTTTTCATAGAGGTGAAACAAGAATGTTAGGAATACCTATAAAAATAATCACTTAGTATGAAAGGAGCGTTTTATACACTCGTTATTTTTATACATTCCATTTCATTTTTAGATTCATTGATTACTGTGTTAGTTTACCAATTTTTCTCGGTTGTTCGAAACTGAGTATGTCAGCAATAAAAGCAATAGGAGGAATAAAAGTCCTACAATTGACTACTTTCACGCTTATTACTTTGTACTTATTATAAGTATACCTAATTAATTTTAACTAAATTGATGAAATTGAACTATTTGTATGTTAAAATTTCTATATTCAAATTTTGAAGTGAAAGAACCAAAAAAAATGAACACCAATTAAAACACTTCATGCATGAGCAACTCTGTCCAACTCCAATTTTATTGAACAATTAATTTTATTGCAAAATTTCTGGACAGCAATACAAATGGAAAACGGGAGTCATTCGACAAAGTTAGATCGACCTTTTGTGGTTGTTCGATAGATGGATTTGTTCAGTATCCAATCTAATCAAAGGACGTGGAGGTGAAAAATTATTCCGTTGCGATGTAATGAATGGATAAGTTTTAAATGTAATTGAAATTCATTGGCGAATGAAATTTAGTGTCTCACCTAATGGTGCGAATGTGTTCGTGGTACGAATAGGTACAAATTATTATTCTTATTTCTTTATTTGCGTTTATATTTTATTTTCCTTTGCATAACGAGTTATCGTACCGGAAACGACTGGCTTGAATAAGCTAATATAAAACCAATTTAGGCAATCCTTCTTATTATCTCGTTGAAAGGAATAAAACTGCATACTTCGCTGTCAAATCTGAAAATAGGTTAAAACATTAGTTTCAATTTGAAAAGATAAAAATAAAAAAAATCCACTACAATTTTACTTTCAGAATACGCAAGAATTCTAGTGAAGAATAACTCGGTTGGGCTCGTAAAGAAATATATTTGTATGCATCATTCCTACGCGAGTATGAGGATACAATGATGTAATGCATTGCTATTTAGACGGCTCAGTAACAGCTCGTGTGATGAGTAGGTCAGGCCCGGCGTTCGCTACGTGTCTCCACAATAATTTTATTAATATTACTCCCGGAAGCCTGTCACGCGCGTAACCGCCCCTCATATTTCTTTGAGGGAAGAGAAAAAATATGATATATTAGAAGAACGAGAGACATAAGAGCTGCGTTGCTTTTCTTTGAAGGAATTAGCGTCGCTTAATGTCTTTCATTCTCATTTGATCATGATTGCGTCGAGAAAAATTATTAAAAGATGATTATTAAAATTATAGTATTATAAATTGGAGTTTGATTAGGTTTATTTTATTTATAATCATTATATATCGCCATGATGAGACATAGCAAGGATTTAGTATTTTTATTTCAATTACCTATTTAAATTTTCATGAAAATTATCATATAATTTATCAAATATAGTAAATAAATAAAAAAACTTAACTAAAACTTGTCTAGGTAAAACTTTTTATTGTCAAATACGTTTGCCGCAATAAAAATAGCAGTTAAAAAATTTGATACAATAATACGGCATTCATTTCATATTTGTCATTAGAGATTTAATCGCAATTTTGTATCAAGTTCAAATCCCAATGGGCCACTAATACAAATGTTTGACATTTTCACACAATATAATTATTTTCACACAACCTACTGTTATAAAAAATTGCAATTATTTCTTGTATACTATTGTCCATTTAATTAATTGCTTATTAATGTGTGTGTGTTTGTGTGGCTCTAATGAAGGAAAATATTAAGTAACCAATATTTCAAGTATACAAGTGTTCTTGTTTTGTCTCTTAGTTGGTACCCTTCAGGAACTTTCTGGCCATATAGGCAAAACCTACCAGGAACGAAAATCATTCTCTAACGCTCAAGTTTTCATAGTTAAACATATTAAATTACAACTGTTCAACTAAGGCCACCGACAATTCTTAATTTAAACCCAGAACAATTTTTTCCTTGGACAATCGGTATCAAATAATAAACGCTTAAAGAAGTCCGATTGCAGATTTATAAACGCAATTAACGAAGACTTCACCACACGAGTCACCCCAAAGGACACATGTACAAAACAACCTGTCGTGTTTCACTCCAACCACTTAGAGTTCACGTTTACCACTACAGTAATGAGTGGCATAACGCTTTTAGTGCCAGCTAACACGACACGGTCAACTCGGCGACTATTATGCGACAAACTAGAGATGCGAGACGATTTTTTTATGCGATAAACATTTGACGAAATTTTTTACGGGTCCGAGAAACTGGAAACAAGTGCCTCAGTGAAATCGAAACAAAAAAAAGGGACAGATTACAAGCTTCATTTCTTCACTCTTATCTTAACGGCGGGAAACAAAACAAGGCTGCGTACAGGCCGCATCAGATAATATTTATTCCTCTTACATGTATTCCGTTTCCGTTTTCTAGCTAGTTTGTAGAATATTTGTTATTCAAATTAGCGAATTTTCGGTAAAATTATTAATTAGTAGAATGGGAATTTGGCTTCTAAAGCTATCCGCCCTGACTGAACGGTCAACGGCTGAGGAAAGGCTTTTCTAAAAATTGAGGTCACTTTTAAATTTGAGATGAAGTTACATATGCGTAAATTGTTATGCTATTAGAACTTCTTTACTTTTGTCTATACTGCAATATGTACATCGAGTTCGAGTGTTTAAGTTTTGTCACATAAATAACGATCAATGTAAACGTATACTTAATATTCGGAAAACTGAAAGCATTTAAATAGAATTTTGCACATAGAAATAACCAGACGTAGTAATCCGTCTCAATTTGGGTAGTCCTATTCACGAGTAAATTGAAATTTTCCTGCTAAGTATGACTGATGGTGTGTATTACTTGGCCTCAGTACGGTGACAGTTACGCCGTAAAGAAAAGAAGATTATTTCATGGCATAGCGCTGCAGTACATTTAATATTACCGCTATTTATTTTAACGTTCCCTTTATTTACCTTGCAAAAAAAGAAGGCTTCGGGTCCTAGCAATAACAGTAATGTATAAAATCAGCAGCGTAATTGCCTTGGTATAATGTTTTTTTTTTTTTTTTTTCACAATCACAGAAACTCGTGAACGCTTTAGGAATTTTGACGATCCAGAAATAAACAGAATATTTCTGGATTTTTGATGGACCATGCAGCATCTTCTGCGAAAACGTTTATAAGAATTGTCTTGCTTATCAGAAGACCGATGTGAAAAACTCTACTACCCTCTAGATCAGTGATTCTCAACCACTGTGCCGTGGCACTTTTGTGTGTCGTCAAATTTCAAAAGTGTGCCGCCAAATTTTGCAAATATATAATAATGTTAATATTATTAAATTATAGCATTTAAAAAGAAAAATATTTTTAACATGAATATATTATATTTAAATCCACAAAAAAATTAATTATTTTATTATTTGCTTTGCAACGGGTTTTTTCTTAGTGCCAAATTATGATGAAGCGGCGTGCATAGCAATAGGAATATGTCTCAAGTCGGCGCACACTTGCCACTTCTGCGTACAAAACGTGTTGTTTTAGTGATAGTTGGGATTCACAAGGTGTTGCATAGTAGTTACTGCACCTTTTCTTTCGTTAAAATTGACAAATGTATGTGATTCGTTTTAATATTAATTTATTTGCATGTAGTGTCAATTTATAAATTTGTAAACTTATTAACTTTGCAGTACACCTATTCCCCGATTTACACGGTACTTGTTTTACACGTTTTCGCTTTTACACGGTTTTACAAATAAGTTTTTTTTTGTTTTTATCGCACTCTACTAAATGCTACTGTGATGGAACACGTGCGCTGTGTACACATCTCACGGGGAATCCCGAGCTTATGTGCTGACTTGCTGCACACGCACACTGTGTCTGTATTTCTTCGCGTATATATTATTAGTAGTATATATAAGTTTATTTCCTATATTTTATTTATTTTTTAAATTTTTGTCATAAACTATTTATGCAGTGTGTTGTAGTAAGTAAATAATTTATATCTTTTTCTTTGTGTGCCGCCAAATTTTGAAATCGTTAAATATGTGCCGCAACAAAAAAAAAGGTTGAGAATCACTGCTCTAGATACTATTATAGATGTCCATGGGAGGCGGTAATCACTTATCAACAGATGAACCGCCTGCTCGCTTGCTAACTTTTAAATAAAACAAACTGTACGGAGGTGGACTACGAACAGTTTTTCCGGTGTTCGACAACAGCTCCCGTCAGCTGTTACGCTAGCAGATAAATAATCTTGATGAAATATTGATATAACTGCCCATATCGATAGTGACAGATTTTAATTCGTTTTGTTTTGAATATTAAATAATACGATCATAGCTCGGTTAACGATAACTATCATAGGGACGCAGCAGCCTCGGCTGTTGCGCGAATAGGCAGGCTCGTCCGGGTAAGTACCACGACCTCACAGAAGACCGGCGTAAAGTGGAAGTATAATACTTTCACGTTTCATCTGGTGAGTGAGGTAGCCGTAGCCCAATTTTCAAAAGGTCAACGCATATGCAACACTCGGGTTCAGCAGAATGTAAATGGGTGCCGGTATTCACTTAACATCAGGCGAATCGCTTGCTCGCTTGGCAACTATTCACATAAAAAAAATTTTTACTGCGTTCATAAACTTATTAATGTATTTTCTTATTTGCAGTATCGACGGTGGACGTTGATGCGGTACTTGGCCGAACAGCTTCGTTACCTTGTGACGTCACGCCCGACACGAATGAAGACCGCGTGTATATGGTGCTCTGGTTCAGAGCAGGAAAAATAACTGGCGGCAAACCAATATACAGGTAATGTCTTCAATGTAATATACGGCAGCATTTTAGCTGCGTAGTCCAAAATCAGAGGGGATTTATGTATATATAAGTCTATTGGGGATCTAACGAAATTACCGCTCACTATCACAACATTTTATAAAACAAAGTCGTCCCGCTGTCTGTCTGTCCCTATGTGTGCTTAGATCTTTGAAACTACGCAACGGATCTTATGCGGTTTTTTTACCAGAGGTTATTCAAATGGAAGGTTTATATGTATAATACATTGCACTCGTGCGAAGCTGGGACGTTAGTTAACGTAATATATTTCTAAAAATAACATCTGGTCGTTGACTGCCGTACATTCGTTTCTAACAAAACCAGCTTACGTAATGGTCTCATTCAGTTGCCCCGCGGCACATGGCAGCGGGGTGTCTGATTTAAATTTCATCGCGATATGTGTGATTGCCCGTGCCAGTAATGCAATTTTAAGCGTCGATTTGCAACGTACTAGGTTATGACGCGAATTGCAAAAGCAACGTAATATATTTAGTACGGAACGTAACAAAGATATCATGACGACTATGTTATGAAGTTTATGCTGTGATTTTGTGGAGGTGGTTAATCATCCTTGCAGTTTGGTTTAAGATGACATTTCATATTTCATTTTCTCGAACTTTTTAGGTTCTACATAATAGGGTGTATCGAAAAAAAAAAAACGATATATAAAAATATAGTTACGACAATTTTACGATTACTCTATTTGTTTATTATTATTCAAAACTAGGGGCCCGTACCGGCTTAACACGGGTGCAATGTATTACACATATAAACCTTCCTCTTGAATTACTCTATTTAGTAAAAAAAAACCGCATCAAGATCCGTTGTTTTAAAGATCTAAGCATACATATGGACAGACAGACAGTGGGACGACTTGTTTTTGAGTAATGTCACTATCGTATAAATATTGACAAATATTGACATTAATATTTATACGGTACTCACGTCACTTAATTTTTTTGCCTTCCCGGAACCCCTCCACTAACACTTAAACTTTATGGTATGGTATATATAAAGTTCAAATTGACTTTTAAGTACTTTTACGAATCTTTTGTATGGGTAAAAGTTATGTTTTTAGATTTTTCATGTATTTTTTAAATTTTTTCTCTCCGTAAGAACCATCCTCGTACTTAAGTTAAAAAGGAATATTATAAAATAAATAATGAGAGAAATCGATTCAGCTGTTCTCGAGATTTGCGCTTAGCAACACATTCAGCGAATCATTTTTATATATAGAGATGACTGATAAAACACAATTATCATCAGTTTTCATACGCTCGTCAATTGTTCCTGTTCTCATAAACTTATATAATGTTTTATATACAAAAGTGAATAATCGATAATGAATTTTTAATAAAAAATGTGTTAAATAGTTTTGAGATATACTAACAACAGAATTAAAAATGAATTCGGTCAAATTATATTCAATACCGGAATCAATATATCACTGGTATGAACAAAATTATATGTGTATTTTTACAATTTGAAAATGTGAAATAGACAAAAATAATACAAAGAGGGACACATTATTTTTCCTCTCGGGTTACGCAATGCTATAACAAATAACATTTGTAGTAATTTCCGGGTAAATATGAAATTCGAGTATACGGCAGATAAAATAGCAATTCGATGTCAACGTTGAATGACAGGCGATCAGGAAAATAATATAAATATAAATAACCTAACTTTTTTCAAGTAAGCCTTACTTGAAAAAAGTTAGGTTATTATATTTCTTGATAATAAACGTTCCAATAATAATACAATAAAACATTCTAGAACTGGAGAAAGAAATTATATATAAAATTAGTATCACCATATTTCAGCCATTTTCACGCTTACAAACATTAATTTCCTGTAACTACGTACATTTTGTCTAAATATAGGTTAAAACGTATCCCTAAAAGTAATGATTATAAAGAAAACTATTATGACCGCATTAAATTATTGGAGTATATATCATGCATATTGATGTAATATATAATTGCTGCCGTAACTAACCAAATAACACTAATCTCAATTTCGAACATCTATGTCTATGTCCTACCTCTACGGCGTAGACGGTGTATAGTTTGATGGTAGGATATCTAATTCCATCCACGTTTCACACATCATATTTGCTCCCAAATATACTCGGTGAAGTGTAGCAGATGGCGGAAGTTGTGATCCGGATATGAATGAGAAACAATGACTTTTGCACAATTCGCTGTACGTTATCGTTTTAGTGTAATTTAAATATCAACACACTTCCGCGCAAACGTATGTTCAACATGCTTATTACGATTCCGACACGCTAAAACAACTGTACACGTTGTACAGCGAATCTAAAAGGCAGTAGAAGCGTGAGAGAACAAATGTCACGTTTATTCGACATCAAGCTCGAGTGCAGCGCAAAACCTTGTGTGACGCGCGTTCACTTCAGTTCGACTTTTTAGCGTTTTAGTGTAATTTAAATGTCAACACAGTTCCGCGCAAAGGTATGTTCGACACGCTCATTTCGATTCCGGCACGCTAAAACAACTATGCACGTTGTACAGCGAATCTAAAAGACAGTAGAAGCGTGAGATAACAAATATCACGTTTATTCGACATCAAGCTCGAGTGCAGCGCAAAACCTTGTGTGACGCGCGTTCACTTCAGTTCGACTTTTTAGCGTTTTAGTGTAATTTAAATGTCAACACACTTTCGCGCAAAAGTATGTTCCACACGCTTATTTCGATTCCGACACGCTAAAACAACTGTGCACGTTGTACAGCGAATCTAAAAGGCAGTAGAAGCGTGAGAGAACAAATGTCACGTTTATTCGACATCAAGCTCTAGTGCAGCGCAAGCTCTTGTAACGCGCGATCACTTCAGTTCGCCTTGTTGCAGTTTCGACGTCCGGGGCCGGTCGTTCAACAAAGCGCTTCAGTGGTCGGACCCGAACGTTTTCGGGCCGCGCGCTTACTTCGCGACCGTGGCGCGCCCCGCTTCACTGACCCTGGACACCGTGCAGTTGGACGACGAGGGGGTCTATCGCTGTCGCGTCGATTTCAAGAACTCCCCCACGCGGAACTTCCAAATACGGCTCTCCGTTATCGGTAAGTATATTTGTGGGTCGGAAAATGAAACGGCAATAAAACGGCGAAAATAACTGGAATGTAAGGCTAGGTAGTGAAATTTCTAAAAACGTCATTTTCACACAATTTTGCCATTGTCAATGTCACAGGCGTTTTCCTATGTCGTATGTGGAGTAAGGTATGAAATATTCAAGTTTATGCCTTATGACAAGTTCACATATGATTTCTTTTTATAACTAAGGATAATATATTGAAGCCTAAGGTCTGACTTGGCTAGTTCGAATATACGAATTTGTCAATTGATCTATCAATTTTGATGTTTATTGCTTTCAACACATTAATTATATGAAGATATTTAATTGTGATTTCATATGAGTATAACTGGTTCAACATTACATTTAAAGCTTCAAATTTTAATATGTTATAATAGGAATTATTAATATTACATACATACTTGTTAGACATTAATAATACACAGTAAAACACATTCACTTCTATAACCTTTTCTGTGGAATTGTAACAATACTAGAAATACCTTAATATTTGTTCTTCTTTTATTCATGATAAAGAGTATTATTACGGAAATTAAATAAAATTAAATATCAAGCTGGAACTTGTAAGGGAATGATGTTTGCAAAAGCTGAGCTCATCTATCACTTAACATTTTTAAATCGAAGAGTCTATTTCATCCCGAGAATTTAAGAGGAAAACGCCGAGCCTTTCAGGTGCTCTCGCCTAGCGAGCGATGCAAAACAAAGCTTTGTTAGAGCTTCTTTGAATTTCGGCAGAGAAAATGAGAGGCTACCTACGGCGCTGGTTTCCTTTAAAGAAGGCTGAGAATACCGTTATTACAAAAATATATAACGATACTTCGCCGAATGTGGCTTTAATCTATATGACTTATTAACCTATAAAGCCTTCTAAAATAAGTTGCGTCCCTTTTATGTCGTTGATGAAGAAATACAGGTTCTGTTGTTATGTTTAATTGAAATAAACCCATTGTATTGTATGGAACATAATGCTACGGGCAAACTGCTCATCTTCGGCTGCTGAAGTTGAAAGAAAAGTTTTCGGGCTCTGGCGTTCCAAGGCAAAATTCAGTGAACTACATGAACGACGTTTTAAATTGGTTTCAAAGATTGAATTGCTTTTTTCAAAACAGGTAAAAACAACTCGACAACAACAGTTTACTTCCAAAAAGTCACTGAACCATGCGATCTGAATGTGCGGACGGTCGTCTGTAGGTGCATTGTGCTAGCATCAGCAAATTCAATATTTAAAAAAAAACTAGCTCAAAGTAATTGCTGTCCACAAATCTATAAATTGGTTTAATAGGATGTATAATAAAATCTCACAGTCGATATCAAGTCTGCCGCTTGATCAATTTAAAAGCAAAATTTAAATTAAACTTATGGCTAAGGCATGTTATTTACCATTGCGAAGGCATATTATATAAGACAGGGGGTAGACATAGGAGAATTTGTCTTAATCGGAACCTGTACGCTGCACACAACACACTTGTTGTTTTTAATTACGTTTTATCCTACCTTAACACAATTAACTTTCTGACAATTTCCATTATTTTTGTACATACATACATATATCTTAAAATGTATTATATTTTCGTTCCAACGGGCTTTGAACTATAAATTATTTATACCCGATGTACTGCATATTTTAAAAAATATAGAATCTTTAACATTGATTATGTAATGTCCGATGAATGTGAAGGAGTTAATGGAAAAATGTTTTTAAAAGAATTCGGTATTTCCAATGCTTGAGTTGATTACAGAGTTCCTCAAGCGCAGTGGATTTTTTAAACAACTCTTCGTTCTGGGTAATGCTTTAATTAATGGAGTTATGAGAACAAAGCCCTTGACGGACTGATTATTACGTTATTAAATTTGGTTTTGCTTTATGATTTTAAGACGTTGGTAATAATAAGACGTCGGTTCTTCGATCGATATTTTCCACCGTTATATATGTAATTTTGAATGTGTTTCCCTTCTTTTCAATTCTCATAAATGTAGAAATTATCACAATTTTATAAAAAATATGATAACAGGAAAGTCAGTACTATATGTATTTGTACATATTAAGTTGGTAAATGTGGTAATTACTGGGAAATATCATTGTGGAGAATATTAACGAGAAAAATTACAGTGTGAAATTATTCAGTAGAATCGCTTAAAATCCTTATTAATATTATAAACGCGAAAGTTTTTATGTATGGATGGATGGTTGTTACTCTTTCACGAAAATACTACTGAATGGATTTTAATGAAACTTTACAATATTATAGCTTATACATTAGAATAAGACATAGGCCATATATTTATATACATATTTTATGTATATCTGTCTTTCTGTTTGAATGTTACGCCTTCAGCCTATTCTACGCAGACGTAGTCGCGGGCAGCAGCTAGTATTTAATATTAGTGAAATGATTACAGGTAATTTGTTACCTATACCAAGCCAGCCCACTATGCACAGACCGTAAAACTTATTATATTTGCACTACACATGTTTATCGTCGAATTTTAAATCGTAAGCGAGCCTCGGGAGAAGTCCTATCTCTATTGATTTCAACACTAATTTATATGTTTTTATCTATGATACTAAATTATTAACTCCATTCTTCTATTGAGTACAATGCTACATTTATAGTAATTCATAAAATCTGTCCATGTCGTTTTTTCAACAATTTTTGATAAAATATAATATTATCATGCTAAAATGTTAATTTCTAGTCGCAAAATTATTTTACTTAGCTAGAGTACATAATACATAACATAGGCTTGAATAAGCGGAAAATAATAAATTCGACTGACGACACATTTAAAAATGGAAGATATTTAAATAAGTACTTAGGTATTTGAATTGGCAAAGTGAATAGCGCAATCTATTTTGCCCTGTAATTCATGTTGCTGTAGTTACCTATGTAAGTCTTCGCCCACCGCCGCACTTCCGTAAGCAATTCTTTGCTACGTCGGGTTTTGAGTTAAGTGAAGCAATAAGTAACGGTTAAGTGAGGGTTGCAGCGGTATGTTGTAATCATAAGTCATTGGCATCGAGAACTGTTTCACGCCAAGAATTGCTCTACAGTGCTCTACGTCGTACTATGCTTACACTTTCAGTGTATATTTAGCTCCATTTTCTGCAAAACGAACCTAGGTAAGTACATTTATAATCAAGTTCTTTATTAGAAGGTCTAAGTATAATTAATTAATACCATCCTTTACGTCAACAAAATTTAACTAAAAAAATACATACCCCGATCTTATAATGACTATGCATATTGCAAAATTTGTTAAAACAATGACCTCTCTGGTTTTCTTTTTTTAACTTTAATTACTAAAACACTTTCTTAATTTAAATCTTGCAAATACATACAAAGTGAGAAAAAAAATCTATTTAGTTATGAATTATAATATTATAAAAAGGTAACAGTGTAAAATAGAAAAAACAATTTTTCTTGTCCCATAAACTATGTTAACGAGGTAACATTTAAAAAAAATATCGTCACAAATGTGAACAAATGTATGCCATAGTATGTCGTGACCATGAGTTGATATAAATAAATAAAATTACCACAATTTCATCTTTGTCGGTATAACAATAAAATCCAGTTATAACAAAATTAAAGATATATAATATATATATATATATATATATATATATATATATATTACTGCATGTTTCAAAACATTAACAATTAATGGAAACAGCACGACGAAACGTAAAATTCATGAAAACTTTGGGCTGAAGACGCGGGGACGACAAGAATATAAAAAGCACCCGTCTAGAGGAGTTGCGACGTGCGGAGGAAACGCTTGCCTGAATTAATAAGTGTAACACGAAATTTGAATTTAATGAAACAAGTTGGCAGTGAGCAGCTGAGAGAGTATCGATCCTCGTTCTTATAAGAATGAACTGATGAAGAGTGCCGAAACCTGATTTCAATTATACAAAATGAATTTGAAATTTTATTTCGGATATTTTATTGTTCGCAAACTTTCAGAGATATCATTATTGTTGGTAATCTTTTATAATCTTTAATTTTTTTTAGATTACATTGTATAAATTATAAAAACAACACAAAATACGTAATTTGCCACAAATAAACTTTCGAATATATGTAAAGACTCATCTATACACTCTCGACACATAATAATTACAACTTTGTATTACAATTTTTGAATGTTAAAATATACGTAAAACAAAAGTAAGATTTATATTTTTATTTTATTAGCAATAAATTTTTCGTTTTGATCTATTGCACGTATGTAATCGAAATTTTAAATAGATCTTCAATCCAAGCAATATTAAAACAATACGCCCCGTCGACACGATAACAATTTTTTTTAATCCTGTGTTGTAAGGACATTTTACAAACATACATTTCACGTGGACAAACACCCAGATGCGAAACAATTATTTGTGGGTCACACAAATAGCTGTCCCGTGTGGGCATCGAACCCACGATCCCCGACGCCGAAGCCAATAGCTTGGCAACTGCGCCACGGAGACCTCGAATAACAATAATTTAAAAATCGAGTTGTCATATTTGTTACTAGCTGTGTCCGCGACTTCGTCCGCGTGGAATTTAAAATAAAAAAAATCTTATTATTTTAAAATTAAAGCAGCCTAAGTTACTCCTTATTTCATCAGCAATCTGTCAGTGAATGTCCCGTCCAAATCGATCCAGCCGTTTCAGATATGAGCCGGAACAAACATACAGACAGACAGACAGACAAAAATTGTAAAAAATGTTATTTTGGTATATTTATCACTAGCTGTGCCCGCGACTTCGTCCGCGTGGAGTAAAAAAAATCTAAAATAAAGGTAGCTTAAGTAATTTCTTATTACTTAAGCTACCTGTCAGTGAAAGTCCTGTCCAAATCGGTCCAGCCGTTTCAGAGAGACACTTGTAAAAAAATGTTATTTTGGTATATGTACCATCTATACATCCATATGCATTTAGTAAAAAGCGGTTATTTTAATATTACAAACAGACACTCCAATTTTATTTATCTGTATAGATTAAATGAAATTATCAAGCTCTAGTTATCGTTGGGTACTTAAACAACTTCGCAAATTTTCAAAGGCCCGTAAATATACGCCATCACGTTAAAGAGTGACATGTACATACATTTATGAAATATACTGACAAATTATGTTTTTGTCAGGCTATGTCAATAAATTAAAGGATGAATGAAAATACTGATTTTCTTATTTTTTACTTCCGAGACTAAACTTCACAGCACTCGCAGCTTCAGACTTAATGCATAATTCAGAAGCCATAATTTTGGATGTAATCTTAGCTGTAGATACGGATTATCGTTACATCAAACACTTGTTACACAATGGAGGCCTAATGAATTCACTATAAGAATTTATTTTGAGACAAATCAGTAAAGGATTGTAATATATTAAATTCAATATTGATAAGGCGAAAAGAATTGAAAAAAGTAACTTGAGTATACATATGTCTGAGTATTCTAGTCATAGTTATATTATATTCTAGTCTGCTGTATTCTTGGGAATTACAGTAGATTAAAAGCTCCAGTGGAGTCTCCATCTATCATCTCTTCGGAATAGGCTTAGCTCCGCTTATTTTGCGATTAGGAAGATTAGGCGGCTATAACAGACATCGATGACGATTTTGAACTTACAGGATATTAATAACCATGAATGGAATACATCCAAACAAAAAAAAAAAAAACAAAGTCTTTCTTATGACCATGAAAGTGCTATAACGAATAATGTTACATTTGTCCCATGTTTTTTTCCCAATACTACACAACCCTTCTCAAGATGAGGACGATATGGAAAGCTTCTATTGTGTTTCTATATAGTGCTGAATTATTCAATTGCTTACACGATAGTACATAATGTCGAAGGGCTTCGCCTTAGCGCGATATGTGAGAGTACAATAGCATTTACAAGTAATAGGCAACCCATCGTAAAGACTTCTTGTTCTATTTTACTTGTAGCGAAGAGCATCGTTCACATTATTGGCATTTTCATCTCACTAACGTCTTTATCCGTATAATCTAAAAGTAAATCCTTTATATGAAAACAACAATATTTTCTCATGAGGATAAGTGCACGCATATCTACTTTGTAATACTTTAATTTATTGCATAAAATTTTGTTACAGTTCCTCCTCATCAGCTCATTTTGTACGATAAGTCGGGGAGAGACGTATCTGGTGTTGTGGGACCGTTGGAAGAAGATAATGAACTAGTTTTAATCTGTGAAGTTAGAGGAGGTGAGATTACTAATAATTGTTTGTAATTTTATTTATTAGAATAACCAGGTACCATTATAGATTATTTCACACTAGGGGACAGCAAAACATAACTTGCCTTCCACTTTTCACTATCAGCCGTCATCTCAACACCCAGCTGTTTTATATACTGAGTGAAGAATGATACTTTTTTTTTAGAATATCGCCCTTCCTTTAGGATAACATTATCCTGTGTTGTAAGGACGTTTTACAAACATAAATTTTATGCGGACAAACACCCAGATGCCATACAACTGTCTGTGGGTCACACAAATACTTGTCCAGTGGGAATCGAACCCACGACCCCCGACACTGTAGCCAATGCCTTAGTAACTGCGCCACGGAGTCATTATGTTATCATATTAAATAGTCTATACAAAGCATTTTCGGTCTTCCTCTAGCCTTATGTTGTCCAATCCCATTCACACTCTTCCAGCAAAATTTTTTTCATCGCTTCTAATGACGTTACTGTATTTAATGTCAACCTACCTCATCTTATGATCTCAGTCACTGGTGTTACTGCCAATATTTATCTAATATACTCATGGATTATATTTATATAATATAATAATTATGTGTATCTTTTGCCATTTTATCTCGAATTTCACAGGACGTTCTCCTTTCATAGTCGGTTAATTTTTGTGCTTCCACTACAACTACATCGTATAAATAACTTAAGATTTGATACAAGGATTTCGATTTTATGGTGAAAAAAAAAAAACATTTGCGTCTTGTGACATAAATGTTTCTTGTAATTTATTTTGCATAATTTGCACTTTTGTATTACTTTAAATATGACCAGAATGAATTATTTTTAAATAAAAAAAGTTGAAAGTTAAATTAACTACATTAATAATATTTCACACTTATTCACCCTATTGATACATCACAAATCACAGATGTATCAGTTAAGACGCAGCATAACTTATTCCCAAGTGGGAAATGAGAAATTAAACCGATTACTTTGATATATTGCTCTTAAACTTGCCGATAAGTCACAGTGTGCGAGATCGGCACCAAATGGTACCCGATGTAAAGTTATCCATCGCCCCGAGATACGATGGGAGGGAAAACAGCTCAGTAGGGGGAGGGATAGCATCACGAATCAAACACAATTTCAGATTATTCAACTGGAAGTGGCACTGAAACTTTTAACAATTCCAGGGTAATTTACGACCAATCTTGAATTATTTAGGTTGTTAATAAAATGTAAACCTAATGCTCTTTCATATTATTCGTTATTAAATTTTTATCATGACATTCATTTTTTTTTACAGTTATTCTATTAAATTGCGTTTGTATTGGTAAAGACTCTTTTTTAATAAAACGGTTGTCAAACTTTATATAAAACAGTTATCGAAGCGCAAACCTTTCAAGAATTTGTAAAGAAATATTTTCTTTGAATTTTATATAATAGAAATGAGAACACTGAAATATTTTGTTGCCTAACTAATTTGTTTCATACAAACTGCATCCTAAAAAAGCTATCATTATTGTACAACGCTCATCACGTACATCCGCAAACAAAAGAACAAAGGTTATTGTCTGTTTAGTTAAATCGTATTCATTCTACAGTAACGGGAGAAATTTGAGTTCTTATATTATTTAAACATAAAATAAATATTATTCCTTATATAGAGGTGAAAATTACTGACTGGTTTCGAGATTCATTTTTTGCTGTGGATAAATGTTCGTGCCTACGTAAAGATGGTGCCACACATAAAAACGGTCCTGAAAAATAATGGGCCCTAACTTGTCAATGTCATTACCTTACCATAAATGACACGATGCATGAAGAATTCACAGTTTATTTTGATTTTAATATAATTATTATTCACAGACGTAATTAATATATTGTTCAAATACAGAAACATTGTTATTATGTTTTTGAGAATTAAAATTTATTAAATGTAAATTTTTTGATGCATTTCAACAGATGAAGATAACACAGCTTTTGGGCATGATACTCATGTGGAAAATGGTTCAACTTATTCTACTGTGGTAGGTTCTTCTTTAACGCACGAATGGGCAAATCCGTTCGAGTTAATAGGTCTAGAAATAAAGAACTTAGAATTTCTCATAGTTTGACATCACCATTATCATCCTCAACTCGTTATCCCCCCTAGGTGTGATCGGCACTACACAAGAGTCGTATTGTTAGTGGTATTGGCTGGATTTTTATAACTGGCCACCTGACTCACGTAAACGCTCCTTGGTTCCGTGTGTGCTTACTCCCCGTGTTGGTACTTAGCCTAAATCCATTTAATTCGGGAAAAACAATATAAACTGACATTTACTAAACAATAAACCACGATAAATTTATTTATGCTTCATTTGTCCCGGATTTTGATTGTGATTATTGATTCTAAATCTATATACAAAACGGTATAAACAATATGACTTACGGCCTACTCTGCCACTATTATCACGTAATTAAAGCTGCTACACCACACGACACAATTAAACAACTTGTTCGTGAACTGTCGTACATAATTCGAGTTGCAGTAAATTTATAACGTTATTTAGGATAAATTTGTGAAATAGTTTAAATAACAAAAAATAATAAAGTTTTTAACCCTAAGTCGATCCAAATTTTGCATGCATATAGGTAATTGTGTGCAAATTTTGTATTTTTCCCGAAATAAGCCGAAGCTTTAAGAATAGGTAAATTAAAAACAATAATGTAGTTTTAATACTATAAAATGACAAAAAGAGAAATAAATTATACAGTAGTCAATGTATCTAATTCATACTTAGTCGTAGCCTATGCCTATGCCTACGTCTAGTAGGCATAGGCCTCCTCGTCCGTTCGCTTCTATCTTTGGCTGTCGTTATCCAACTAAAGCCGGAAATTGTATAAATCATAAGCTTAACGATCGGCTAACGTCTGACGATCGTTAAGCTCGTGACGTGATTTAAGATCTAATTATTGTTTTTTTTATTTTTATTTTTTATATATCACTTATGTTTGGAGCCTTTTAAGAAGATAAAGCCCGTCGTCTTGTAACTGGAAAGAAGAATGCAGAGGGAAAAATATTATAAGTTCTAACTGCTATACAGAATGAAACACTAGAAACTTAATAAACTATATCAATGAAATAAGTCGATCAAATTTAAGCGATTTAATTTTTATAATTAACTCTAACTTAATATTAGTAATATTAGTGTAAGGTTTGATGAAATAATAACGTAAGCAGGAACATGACATAACCTTTACATGTAAGGCATTCTTCTGCATTACCTAGATGTGGCATTCCTAATTTCATTGCCCGTGATATTTAGCAACGATTATTATATTTACAAGTTTATGCATTATTTTGAAGTTACACTTCTTGTACGGTTAGAAAAAATAACGGGTAAAATTATTATAGCAATGAACCCAGAAGTTAGTTGCAAAACGACCAACTTCGAGTAACTTCACGGTGTTAACATTGCAGCCTATAACATTGACATTTACCTATAATTTACCTTTAATGTCTTTTTCACAACCAAAGAATACGTGCAGTGAGAGTGGCACAGGGAATAAAATTTTTAGTTATTGTATGCTTCATACCACGAAGTGGTTGAAGTTGTACTCTACTTTCGACACGTCTAATTCAAGCAATTATTTGCTCTTAACAATGATATTTAATACTATATTATAGGTGACGCATGTCCATACTGCGCGGCGTTTAAAAATTGTTCCGCTTTACATTATATATGACATATATAAATGAACGTGACAGATGATATAGAACGTATGATATGGAAAGAGTTGCAGTCTATAGAATTGCCATCCAATAACACCAATAGGTGTAACTTGAGTGCCACAATTTCGGTGTGCTAGAGTTTACTTTCTTTGTATATAATATCATTGGCTCTTAAAGTGCACTATCACTACCAATTAGCACTTAAGTACACACGTTTTTATGACTTTTTCATCTAAATTTTTCTTTTTTTTTGTTGTTGTTGTTGTTCAGTGCCATATGTTCTTTTTTTATTTTTAGGGCGTCCTGCACCAACAGTGGTTTGGCTTATCAATGGAACGCCCGCCGTTCAATTCATAGGCGAGAAAACGGACACGCACGTTGTAGTAAACCGTTTGGAATTGCCACACATCAAGAGATCTCACTTGAATACGACTTTTAAGTGTCGCGCTTCAAACACTAATCTAGTCAGCCCTCAAGAGAAGACGGTGAGGCTGGAAATGAATCGTAAGTTTTTACTTTGGTTTTTAGTTAAAAGTTTGTTCTTACTTAGAACCATCGATTTTTCAAGCATAACGTTGTTTTGTGCCTAAAGTTCCTCTCTGTTTTCCTTTTTTCCCTATCATAATATATATTTTTCATCGTAGAAATGTGAACTAATTTTCTATAGTAATAGTTAGTAAATTCAATCTGGGTGTTATTAATTATTTAAAGGATTTCCAAAATAATAATATCAGCATAGTACGTAATTTAATCGACATATATTGAACTGACGTTAAATCTGCGCATAAATATACACACAGGATAACATTCATTTTGTTTTAGTCCATTTTGACCTAAGGGTTTGCCCTAAATCGAATTTAAAGTCTAAGAATACCGAATAACAAAATTTTCATGTTGAATTCTTTGAGTAAATGAAGTTGTAAGCCCTGGGGGCTGGTGTCGACAAACATTTGACGTTTGATTAAACTTTAACTAAAACAACAAACTTTTGGAAAATACAATAATTCTAAATCGCATATTTTAATGAAAAGCTTTACAGAAGATAAGGACGGGGACACGGTTTTTATAAGGGAATGCGGTCTGATCAGTTATAAAAATACATTGAATTTTGTAATTACATATACTGAGGAAATTTACATAATTTATTTTTATATTAACTAAAACGTAGCTTTTATTTTTTTATAAAACTGAAACCACATTATCATTAATTTGTGCTGTCTTGGCTTGCGGAATGCGTTGGGTATTTTATAGTTTCATTGTTGGAAATCTTTATAATACTAAAATATCTAATTTAACTACATTAATGTTAACATCTTAATTATATACGCTATATTATAAAACTCTCATAGTAATAAATACACTTAAAAAATTTCGTGAATAAGTAAAATACCCGCAAGTTGTATTTTTAAGTTATATGTATAAACTTAGCAATATTACAATGTGCCGAAAAAAGTACGAAAACTTCGCCGCGATGAGAATCGAATCCACGTCTTCAGGCGCTTAGCCACAACTTTTCAATTATAAATAATTATATATATGATATGAATATTTAATATTAATACCTACAATTATTTTAGTGTAAACATTTTTAATAATAAACACTGCTTTATTGAATTATGTCTAAATTATATGTCCTTTAATTTATTGAAGACTTAATCAAAAACATTTCTTCACAGTGAAACCGACTTTAGTGAAGATTGTTAACAAGCCAACAACGATGTCTTCTGAGCGTTACGTCACCTTAATGTGTGTATCAGAAGGCAGTAGGCCAGCTGCTCAGCTTACTTGGTACAAAAATAATAGAAAAATTAAAAGAGGGAAGGTACTGCACTTTACTTCGTACTAACACGCATCTTTACCCTTACCCTTAAAAAAAGACTTGCAGACTTACGGCCTGCCTTAATATTCTTACTGTAGATTTGGTTACTAGCGATAGGTATTTGACATTGGCTCCAATGTTTACGTCAAAAGTCTATCTCAAGTAACTAAAACCACAGATAGATAAAATATTTATACCAATCGATAGTGACAAAAATCTCTTTACATTTCTTTTAAAAAATTTAGACAGGAACTTTAACTGACATAATAGAATTCTTACAATTTAACCAAAAATCTTTTCTAATAACAATTGCGTATCGCAGGTAATAGAGGCTGCAAATGAGACGTGGGTAAGCAGTAATTTGCAATTCATGCCCATGCCTGAAGACGACGGGCTGTATCTCAAATGCCAAGCGGACAATAGCGCAATGCCCGGCCAGAGCATTGAAGATGCCATCAAATTGGACGTTGTGTGTAAGTTATTTATATATTTTTTTGTAAATAACAAAAACGGTGCAATACTTGACGGATCTTTTTAAACGTAAACGATACGTAAAAATTACACATAATTTATGTGTGAACATACACAACATCACTTCCTGTCTATAGGGGAATAACCAATTCTCCATGTAGCCTCCTAGGATATTTTGAGCAAGCCTTTAACTAAATTTATGACGGTCAAGCATGTGGAACGCATAAAAACCCAATGTTTATTGCACATCAAAACTGCCATTCTCACCGTTGTTCTCGCAAACTTGTGGAGGTTAGATTATATCATTACAACAGTTTTTCTTTAATATTAAAGTTTGTTAAGGGATGATGGCAAAGTAGTACGTGGTCCTGCTGGTGTGTATGTTAAGTGTTTAGCGCTGGCCTCTGACACCCATGGGTTACAGTAGCATTATCAATATTATAAACCTCAAATTGTGTTTTTCCTTATTTTTAATTCAGAACGAACATTACGGTATTTAGTAGCATAGTACATAGTAGCATAGTAGCAGCAGAACAGCATAAGAAAGCCGTAACTAACTCTAAGAATACATCTGCCCAGGGATAGACCATAATAATAACATATACAGCGTGTCGTTACAACCGCCACAATTAATGAACACACGTCTAACGCTGCTTGCCAATAATCATAAAAAAATAAAACGTTTAAAAATTCATAATTAAAAAATATATTTCTCAAAAAAACTAATTAAATAAAAAAAGAAACAAAATTTGTAACACCTATACAACTACAACTGACTGATTCATACATTCAGAGACGTTTTCATTCGTTGCCACAAGGTCTTTACATTACAAGTCTCTCCTTCTAAAATTATGTTTTATCTCTTTTAAATTCATTCAACCCATTTATATGCTGTATGAACTTTACGCCTTAGTATATCAAAACCAAAATTAGCTCGTATTTAGATGGCAGACGCAAATGATCTGAAGCTTTTTTTTAAATATTATAGCAATATTTTAATCATGTCGTCACATTGGCGCCGAAGAGGAACATACAAGTAGGTTTATATACAGCGTGTCGTTACAATCACGACAATAAATGAACACAAATATAGAGGATAACTTTTTAAAATTGTATTAAACATTTACATTCTTTAAACATCAATATTTACCGAGTCATTAAATTGTCCAAAACAAAGAATTTTAGAACACCCTTACGTATAAAACTGTAACGTAAAGTTCATTTGTAAAGGTCACAAATCATATGAATGGGTTGAATGAATTTAAAAGAGACTAAACATACTGTTAGAGGAGGCTTGTAATGCGACGCTGTGACAACGAATGAAAAAGTCTCTGAATGTATGAATCAGTCAGTTATAGTTGTATAGGATGTTACAAATTTTGTTTCTTTTTTACTTAATTAGTTTGTTTGAAAAACATTTTTTTTTATTATGGAGTTTTTTAATGTTAATATTTTTTTATAATTATTGGCAAGTAGCGTTAGACGTGTATTCATTTATTGTCACGGTGGTAACGACATGCTGTATATAGAGGATTATTATATTTCTTGAAGCGAAAGTTAATTAATGCTGAACTTTATCATACAAGGAAACTATAACTATCTTTTCTTTTCTTCGGTGTGTATCTGTGAATGAGGGGATTTATCTGTTCATAAAATAATGTTAGCATGTCATCTATCTCCGTCGCATCGTGCCAAAACAGCGACCAATAAATTTTTGATAGATATTGTTCAGGGGTACAAAGCTACATACATTATGATTTAAAAAATGTTTAATATTGTAATATTTTTTTATTCTTCTTATTGCATATTTTAGCATTAAATTCTTTTTATTTATATTTCTAATACATTTTTTCTATTTTATATAGATAGTCATAAATCTTCACAAGCAGATTCGTAGGAATATTTTCTTATTGATAAAACATCTTTAGAACAGTCACTATAATGAAGCACTAGTCAGACGAGGGCCACACTGAAATGATCGGGAACAGAATATTTCGGATTGAGTTACAATAAAACCTTTTTTAGAATTTGAATACTGGCCTCTTAGAATCTTAATGACATTCAAACAATTAAAAAAAATGTTTAAAAACAAAACTATTTTGGTTTAAAGTTGACACATCGTTAACAAAAATGGAGCTCACGCGTGAACATTTCTGTGCCATAATTTATCAAAATTTTCGTCGTGGCTTATCTCAAGATAAATGTCTCAGCGAACTTGTTTCGATTTATGATGTTGAATCACCGAGTCAAACGAGAATATACCGCTGGCATGCCGAACTTCGACGCAATCGTGTGTCGCTCAGAACTGTTTCTTCTGCAGGTCGACCAAGAACAGCGGTCACGCCTAAAAACATCGCAGCTGTGCGAACTATTATATTAGATGACCGTCATGTGACATACGAGCAGATTCAGGCTGTTATCAGTATCGGAATAACTGCAATTCAGTCGATATTACATAATGAGCTGTGTGTAAGAAAGACGTTGCTGGGTTACCCACAATTTGTCCGACGGGCAAAAGGCGGCTCGCGGTGCGGCAATTGGTGCCGGAATACTCAGCAACGCGGAGGGAAGTCAAATGCCGTTTATAATATCGTCTCAGGTGACGTATGACGAATCATGGATTTATTCCTACGAACTTGAAAGAAAACATCAGTCAGCAGTTTGGGTCTTCGAAGACGAGGTCAAACCAACGAAAGTGGTTCGCTCCCGCAGCGTGTCAAAGAAAATAGTCGCTACGTTTGTCCCGAAAAAGAGGCATGCTGCTATAATTGCTTTACAGGAAAGCGGAACGGTTACCACTAAGTGGTATATCCCGGTTTGTTTGCCACAAATGATAGCCAAACTCTGAAAAAATAACCCGAAACTTCACATCATCTTACATCACGATAATGCGACCTACCATACGGCTCGGAAGACAAATGATTTTTTGAAGCAGGAAAACGTTGAGCTGATGAGCCATCCTCCGTACAGTCCTGACCTAATTTCTTTACATTCCCTCCAATGAAAGATTTTGTTTGAAAACCCCGAAGCAGCTGTGGAAGCGTACAAATCAGCCAGTCAACATCAACATCAGACTGAAAAATTATTGGTTTGCACGAATGGAAAAGTGCATTAAGTTGAACGGAGAATACTTCGAAAAACAACAAAATATAATTTAGCTATACCGTGCATGTGGTTTTTCTTATACGCGATCATTTCGGTGTGCCCTACCATAGCGGCTGACGATCGATCCCATCTAAATACGTTGTACCTTTAGTCCACAATTTCAAAGTCAAAAATTCTTTGATTCAGACTTCGTAATTATTGTAAAGAACGGCAGTGTAAAAATCATTTACTTGTAAAGCCTTTAGTATTCTGATAATAAATATGAATATCGTGTGTGGATAAGAAAAAGACACAAGAAAATCTTGCTATAACCAAAAATTAAAAAAAAATAGATATAATTTCAAAGATTTAAATGAATTTAACTGACTAAGAGAACCGATTTTTTTGATTCTTTTATTATTTGAAAGCTGGTGCTTCCCATGTGGTCCCATATTCATTTAATTTGGTATTGGATCTTGGGCTCCGGTGATACTAAGGGAACTCCTGAAAATCAATTATAAAATGAATACAGAACATTTGTAGTTGGTTTTATGTTTCGTTAATAAAAAAATTGACTTGTATTCTTTGTAAAATGAAAATACAGAACGAGACATTTGTAGTTGGTTTTATGTTTCGTTAATAAAAAAATTGACTTGTATTCTTTGGAAAAAGAGGTTCGACCACAAATATAAGATGCTTGATTGATTATGGATTCCGGATAAACAATTATTTCAACGACTCATGTCAAATCTGTAGTACTTAGTTAAAACTATTTTCAAATGTGAAAAGTTGTCGTGCGGGCAAGCGGTTCACTTGAAGTTATTACCGCGGCACATTTTAACACCTGAGGGGTTGCAGATGCATTGACATAACAAATTGTATTTATTTTAGTTATTATATTTTTTTTTTCAGGTTTTTAGTTTTAGGTTCATTGTTCTAGTATATGTATTGTATTACTTTATCATTTGAATGTTATACAAACTGTTATATTACTTAAATTATTATTGGTGCCCGAAACTATATTTGAATGCTCTTCCGGGTAAGTCCCACGACCTCACAGAAGACCGGCATGAAGTGGAAGAATAATACTTTCGCGTTTCCGCTGGTGAGTGAGGTAGAATTTTCAAAAAGGTTGTCAACTCATCTGGAAACTCTCGGGTGTAGCAGATGTCCATGGGCGGCGGTGTTCACTTAAGTGCTTGTTCACGTAGGATCACGCGGGCGTGGTGGCGAGTGCGAACGTGGTAGACGTTGCGATCTCGTGTTCACGTTAGCCGCCAGGCGTAGTTTGCGTGATTTGATGTATTTTCAGAGGTTGAAAACATAGACGATATTTTATTTTTAACCGAAAATTCATGTTTATAGTGGAAAATGCTATAATAAAAATTAGAATTGGTGTACAACAAATTAATAAAGAAAGAGAACGGTATGTTGAATTTCATACTTTACATAGTAATTTGAGAGAACATCCTTCAAGCTTTTTTTTTGAAAATACCAGGATGACTGTTTTGATTACTTACTAGATTCAATAAGAAGGAGAGTCATTTCAAAAGAAGACATAAGAAACGTTCTATCATTTCTAGCGACAACTTCAACATGGCTGAACTTACCCGACGTCACGAGTGAGTACCGCGCTCTGCCGCTAGTTCGACGTGAACACACACAAACGTCTCAAGCATTTGATAATATCGCGATCGCCGCGCGCACGCCAGTCGCTAGTTTCCCCTCTACTTAGACCGCACATGTGCTTCGTACGTGAACACTTGAATACTAAGTCATATTATGTTTGAGTACCTGAAGGACCAAGCTTTGCTCGGTTTTTTTTTGGTAAATTATGTATTTTGGAAATAAAAAATATAAAATATAAAGAAAATGATCTGGTATAGAAAAAAAAGTTAAAAAAAAGTGTGTAAATGATCGTGATACGAACCACGGCCGTCTGTTTTGGGGCCGCCCGATTACCGACCGAGCTATATAACATTTTGCGGCGAAATTTACTGTCATATTCGAATGATATTTTTCATCTCTTGAAAACAGGGATAAAAGGACATTTTCTAAAAATGAAACCTAGCTAGATCGATTTTTCGCCCCCGAATCTACGCACATATAAATTTCATGAAAATCGCTGGAGCCGATTCCGAGATTCCGATTATGTATATATATATATATATATATATATATATATATATATATATATATATATATATATATATATATATATAATATATAAACAAGAATTGCTCGTTTAAAGGATAAGATATTTCGTGACCGCGCCCGCCACCGCGCCCGCGAGTCAACGTTAATAAGCACTAACATCAGGTGAACCATCTGCTCGCATGACAACTTTAATATTTTTATTATTATATGAATAAACGAATATTATCGCAATTACATTAGTAGTTAACGGATTTTACTGAACTTCAACTGCTCACAGAAGTTAATAATAGAGGAGTTCGACTTTTTTGTGAAATTAAAATTTCGATACAATTTTGATTTAAGGTGTCTTATAAATCTTGAAAGTTAATTTCATAATTTAATCACAGTGAATATTATCCAAGAGACGTGCTTTAAGATAATGTGAAGACCATAGAGACCAAGAGTGCCCAAATAGTAACGATAATTAACAAATTAACAGTGTTCGTGATATAAAACCTGGTTAAAATGCTAGCTCCTTAACCGGTTATTATGTAGGTACAATATTCGTTTCAACATTTGCTGGTACAATTGTTGCATGTTATTGGATTAGTGCACTTGTAGAGTTGCAATTAACTAATGTTTTTGTCGTTATGAGTTAGTGGGAATTTATTCATGCAATAATTCTTATAAAAAGGAAAAAACATGTCGGAATAAGTCCTTTGAGGCTGTGTTACTCTGTAAATAGAATGGAATACATAAATAAACGACTTTATTTGTGAAATTAAAATTTCGTTACAAGTTTGAAGTAAGGTGCCTTATAAATCTTGAAAGTTAATTTTATAATTTAATCCCAGTGAATATTATCCAAGAGTCGTGCTTTAAGCGAATGTGTGAATGAAATCATAAGTTTTTATGTAATTTATATATTTAATGGTTGACCTGTATAAAAGTACTGTTTTTCTATCTTAAACATTTAAAATGCAGAGTTAAGAGACAACGAAACAACTCAATCAAACAGCATCACAAAGCATGAGAATAAACCCTTAAAACTAATTAACCAGTAACCTAATTTATTCATATGCTGCCCCTTTTAACAAACAAATTTCTAACATTTTCAAAGGGACATCTTGCAAAGCCTTATTAAAACCTCATAAGCCAGCAAGAGGAACGCAAAATGTAATTAAAATCTTTTTACTTATGTTACATTCTCTTTATGCTAACAGTTAACGTCTGCTGTGGACTTCCTAAAAACTAATTTAAACTACACTATCCTCCAGTTTCCAACTCACAGCTTCAAGCAAATTTTCATAATACTCTTATAGGAATTAAAATATGCTTGCTGTTTCATTTGACGCATTATTCTCTAACGTTCACATTTCATTGCTAATTTAAAAGAGAAACAACAAAAGGCTGATTTAATAAACGATTTAATAGACACATACAAGTTAAATTAAGTAAAACCACTTAATGAGTTATAAATACTTTACGTAGGAACGAATAAGTAAACCTTTCAGTCCATTACAACGGGGGAAATTAATTTTCGAAAATAAATAAATTCCATTTACTTCTGCTCGGCGAACCGTAACGCATTTAAAGCGAAGAGAATATCGCCGCACCCGACGCGAATCGTTTTGGCAACAATTTAAACGGAGCAATCGTAAATGTTTATTTCGGGGATGAGCATTTTCCCCGCTCCGGGGCGACGTCGTTATAGGTCTTTAATAGCCAATAAAGTGTCAACACGTGCTTTCCGCCGCAGATAACCGCTTACCTGACTGGTTAACCAGAAAGACAGCCTTTCCATTTCATATTTAACAGGAACGTTTAGTGAAAACGAATCCGCTTTTATAATTCCAGTTATGAAATATATTCTAATTAAATGAACTTCATATTAACATAAGCCTCGCATAATGGAATAAAGGAATAGTAAGAAAATAAAAGGAATATCCAATCATACTCTTTCTAAAATAAAGTGTCAACTCTATTTATTTATTTATACGCCTTCTACAAAAATGTGCAATGTCAGACTCCGAACATTGGGGTCCAGAAAAGTTTAGGTCGATGGTTTGATTGAAAGATCTATTACTAGAATATTAATAATCTCTATTATATAAAATATTAGTAATACTAATAAACTAAAACATATGCATAAAATTATAAAAATGTTTAAATGTCTTAACAAAATTTTAATGAGTTAAAATAATAGGTGCGTATATACTATAAAACTAAATATTCAGATATAAAAATATAATTATATAACTACAAAAACATCATAGAAATAAAACTTGTCTCTTAGCCTGTCTGATTTCGAAAGGCAACGCATTTCAGAAAAGAATAAACTCGACAAAAAGAAAAGATAAGTGAATGAAGCCCAATTTCCAAAAAGGTTGTCAATGCATCTGCAAACCCTCGGGTGTAGCAGATGTCTATTGGCGGCAGTATTCACGTAACATCAGGTGAACCGTCTGCTCGTTAGGCAACTTTTCACATAAAAAAAATGAAATCTGATCGATGAGTAGGACACTGGAAAATGGACTGTGCTGTTGATTGACCTGAACTGTTGATTTATTACTATTGATATATTCTACTCCGTCTTACTAAGATAAGTAAGAGTAAGAATATGGTGGGAGAAGAATCCATACTCGTAAGAGTAGAGTGAAAGAATAATCCATAAAAGAATGAAGAGTAGTCATTCGTCCGATAGTCGAACAAAGGAAATGTTAAAACCTTTTGACGGTAAGAAGATCGCCACTGGCGATGTGGTTCTACCTGCTCAGTTTTATGATGATGAACAAAATATTTTTTCACATTCTGGCTGATAGGATTGATTCCGTTATTGTAAATAGATAATAGGATGTAGATTGATTAAATCTACTTTTGAAGCATAGAAACTCGAGGCACCCCAAAACTATTTGGTTAATCTCATTGATCACTGCTGGGTGGCTTGCTGGATTATTCGTCACTGTACGTTTCAGTTGTCATAAAGAATGGTAATCGCCACAAAGATGATACGTACTCTGAAGATTCAGTACATGAGATTTATAATAATAGAAAATAAAAGAAGAGAATTTATGAAACTTTGATAGGATTAAGCCAACTTTATGACAACTCAAAGTTATTAACTTACTGCAAGTGCCCTCGAAGTTGAAAAGAAAACATTATTACGACTTTAACCTTCACTATTTTCTTATATGTATTATTAAAAACTTACTTACATCTTTCATTATTTTAGTTTAAATTAGTTCAGTTCTTAGCATAGTTTTATTTATTCTCGCTAGGACGCTTTTGTGTTTATGCTGTAATTGAACCAAAACAAATTAAGAAAATACTTTACGGTATATATCCACGGCCTTAACGTCCAGGTTAATTTACAAATTTGTTACAGATCCGCCTGTTGTTTCGCTGTCATTAGGCAGCACACTAAACCCACACGACATCAAAGAAGGCGATGATGTGTACTTTGAATGTTCAGTACGCGCAAACCCAAAGGAACATCGCATAACGTGGTACCATAATGTATGTTTTTTAAAATAAAATATTAAGTTAAATATCTTTTATGTCATTTAAATTTAAATACAAAAATCATAGCAATAAGACACAATGCCTAAAAAGAATAGAATTAAATAATGATTTTTAAGTTCCTAAAACGTTCAATGCATTATTATGATTTAATGTATTTATATTTTATTTATAACCATATAAATTATTTAATGTAACAGTTGTTATATACTTTTTTTTACTTATTTATTTTAAAGTTAAAAATATAACTTTAAAATAAATAAGTAAAAATATGTTCTTCATTGTTTTGAAGAAGATCTGAATCGAGAATTATCTTTTGTTCAGGAGAAGCCAGTTTTGCACAATGTTGTGTTGGGTGTTATAGTAAGTACAAAGTCACTAGCGCTTCAAAAAGTGACAAGGGAACATGGTGGCAACTACTCGTGCAGAGCCACGAACGCCTTGGGTGAAACTGCGAGCCAAACTACACATCTAAGCATACAATGTAAGTAGTTTTACCCGAAAGATTTCTTTAAAAAAAAAATTCTGTAGTACTAATCTCTGCACTTAAGCTGAAAAAAGTTTGTACAAGAAATGGATGAGAAGTTCTTCTGGACACAAATCCAGAAGACGTGGCTTCGATTCCCGCAGCGGCCTTGCAGAAACTTTTCGTCCATTTTTTTCTACAAAATTTATACGACCAGTAATGCTGCATCATGAGTTACATTTATAGGCCAGCTTGAAAAATATAAACCAGTATAAATATAGAACTTATAAACCATAAACTATGATTTTATGTATGTTCCTGAAGTCTAATACTAGTTTCTTTTTGATATCGTTTATAAGGTATAATTATTCTATTAGAAGGATTTAAACGTCGCTAATGTTTTCACACATACAATTAAAAAAAATTATTAAACCTGTGTGTGTTGTGTCTTATTATGAAATATTCAACATTACCAAAAGAAGGTAATAAATAGTTAATAACTCTTAATGTTCTACTATACATTTTAATGTTTGTAATTACGTATTATGAACAAATACAATACACAGCAAATATATCGACGCCAGTTATATACTTTATAAAAGAAGCCACAAATCTATCGAAAATAGATTAATCACAATCGTACAACAACGTTACCCTCTGTGGGGACTCATTAACTGTCAATAATAATCAATATGCTAACTAACAGTCGAAGTTCCGTTTTGTTAGCAAACTCCGTCAAGACTTTCAGAATTGTGCAAGCGATCATCAATTATGACTGCTAAAGTCATCCCAGAGATTTTTGTAGTCTGAATCTCCGTCAATATTCAATCGTTTAATTAAAATAATAACCTTTCCTCAGTATAAAAATAAAAAATTCCTTATAAATTCATATTCTTTTACATACTTTTACATACGTATATTGTGCAACTAAAGTAAAAGCATATATACATGTGTCACTGCTGGGCAAAGACCTCCTCTGTACAAGGGTATTACGGCATATCCCATCACACTCCCCACTGTGGATTGGGATACCTCATATATCTTCGAAATATTATTTTTGGTATTATAGGCAACATGCAGGTTTAAAATTAACAATGTCATTGGTGCCAGCGCTGGGATCAGAACGAAGATTTCTCGAGTATTGAACTAAAAGAGAGCGCTGGACACAACAATCATAACAACAATTGATGTATGTATATATATATATAATGGCGACTAATGCCGGAGAATAGTTACTCAGGGATCTGTTTTTTTCGCACCTCATTTCTTGCTGCATATTAACGATCTACCGAGCTCTATGGGTTCGCAGACAACAGAACAGTTGTGGAGATATACGAAACGAGTATTTGGTTCGGTAGAGATCTCATCCTGTCTGAATGAAAGGCCATGGTAGAGCACTTGAATCTCACATTGCAGACGGTTTCTGAATGGGGTGATGACAATCTTGTGAGAATCCAAAATGCACGCAGGCAGCAACCTTGCCTCCTATTTTCCGTTACTAGTCCCCGAATTTTACTAATCGTCTTCAGTTGTTGGAAGTTGAAATATCCTCAAACCTCAACTTTTGGTTCATCAAGTCTCGAAAGAAGGTAGATTTAAGTCATATCGGGTGTGGAGTACTGCTGCCATATCTGGGCTAAAAATGCCATCTGGCTGCCTTGGAGTCAATTGAGAGGCGTGCGGAAAGGCTTATTGGTGACTGTTAGTTGGTTATAACCAATCTTACTAGCCTTAAGCACACTTATAAAGTAGCCAGCCTATCGGTATTTTTACTGGATGTATTTTGAAGAGTGTTATTGTGTCGGTATTACTCTTCTAGTCGCTTTACAATAAATACATTTTGCAATTGTATTTTAAGGATGGAAGTAGTGTTAATATTAACATTTCGTACTTTCATTATTCAAATCTTGTACGGAATCGTTTGTTAAAGCAAATATTTAAAATTTTAATGAATATCTAAGGCAAACTCGACGCCAGTTCGCAGTTTTATAAGAAGACACCCAAATGAATCACAGACCCGGTAATTCTGAAAGAGAACAGTTGGGCGATAAAATTAATATATCGTCTAACTTCTTGTTACGATTTAACGAACTGTATTCGAAGTCTATTTTAGCTCGCTTTGTTCATTACAAATTCTTTAAAAGGTAATACCGTCCTGAATAACCAAAAGTTTTTTTTTCAACTAATGTTGTATAATAGCAAAGTTATGTGTAAATTTATACAATATTTTTTTATAAATAAATATTTATATTTATTACATATTTATTACACAGTTCAGAGCCGTGATAGCTCAGTGTCGGGGCGCTCGCTTTTAATTCAATATACTCGAGCAACCTGAGTTCGATCCCAGGTGCCGGCACCAATAGAGATGTGAACCGATTACAATTATGACACCGGTTTTATACCGATTACTTTTAAAAAAACCGTTTATTTTTTTTAGGTTTTTAAAGGTTTTTTATTAAGCTTTGTAAAAAGAGCTTATTGGACTAAAGTCATGATGCCCATAAACCGCAAGTAAGGGAGAAACAGCAACCAGTATAGACATTTAAAGGGGTTTTGTAGGTCTTGTGGCTTGTGGCTGTAATTAAAATGCTTTTTTTTATGCGAAAAGTTGTTATAACCACTAGTGCTGCTTGTCGTTATAATAGTTGTTAATATTGAAGTTCAGTAATAGTTAAATATTAGGATCAAGGTAAAGAACGTTAGAACTCTTATAGTTGTCAAACGAGCAGACGGTTCACTTGATGTTAAGTGAATACCGCCACCCATGGACATCTGCCACACCCGAGGATTGATGCGTTGACAACCTTTTGAAAAATTAGGCTCCGGCTACCGCACTCACCAGACGAAACGCGAAAGTATTTGTCATACTTCCACTTTACGCTGGTCTTCCGTGAGGTCGTGGTACTTACCCGGACGGGCCTGCCCATTCGTGCAACAGGCTGCTGCGTGGCCCTAATACCGTTTAAATTAAAATGCTTTATTACATATAAAAAAATACTTTCTAATACATCTAGCGCGAAGTGCTTACTCACTTGTCGTAGATTTCCGTTCTCTGTTTGTTATAAGGTACTTTGTTTAAGCGTAAGATGTCGTACTAAGTGATAGATGGATCAATATTTTGCTTTCAATAAAACCGGTTTTCTTAAACAAAAATCGGTTGTAATAGGTTCTATTAAAAACCGGTTTTTTCACCGGTTTCTTCAAACCGGTTTACATCTCTAGCACCAATGAAGTTTTTAATTTTAAGTGCTGACTTATCACGTGCTCCGCGGTGAAGGAAAACATCGTGAGGAAACCTGCATATTTTCGAAATAATAACAAAAAAATATATATTTCTAAAATATATGAAGTCCGCCAATCCGCAGTGGGGCCGCGTGGTGGACTATGCCCTGATACCCTCTGTATAGAGGAAGCCTTTGCCCAGCAGTGGGACATGTATTGGCTGTTACTTTACTTTACTTTACTTTACACATTTCATTTTTATTACAAAATGTTACTGGTGATTCTCATTTCCAATTATATCACATATATATTTATATAAGCGATATAATTGTATAAGCGCAATTAAAATACACTAATTTATTGACATTGATAAGAAATCCAAATGAAATTAATGTGTTCGTAATGTAACATTTAAATGATACTCACATATCTTTAACCGTTTAAATGTTTATTTCTTGCAAATAACATTTAACCGTATTTAAAAGAAAGAAAGAAATGTTTATGTCGCAAATCTCAAAATCACCAAACTCTCTTTGTCACCAGATACTCCTGTATGTACGCACACATCTCCGCAAGTTCTTGGCGCGCAACTCGATGAGACATTACGCGTGCGATGTTCAGTCACTGCAAATCCTCCTGACGTCGTATTCTTCTGGCAGTTTAATAATAGTGGCGAAAGCTTAGATGTCTCAACGGCAAAATTTGGTAAAAAAAACTTTTTACAATGATTCTAGTGTTAAATACAATAAATTCAAATACATGATTCACTCTCAATTATTCGTATGTTTTTAATTTTTTTGTCTTTCCGCAATCAAACATCCTTTATGTAAAAAGGAATAAGTAATGGGAGTACCAGCGAATTAAACTACAAACCACAAAGTGAACGTGACTATGGTACCCTTAGTTGCCGTGGTACTAACTCTGTGGGAAGACAGCTTGAAGCATGTGTTTTCCAGATTGTCCCTGCAAGTAAGGTTTTATGTTATTACTTAGTGTTCATAGTCATTTACCTATATTTCTTAGTTACGGCAATTACGATATGATCGCAAATAAGTATATTTCAATAAACCAAGACATACAGTGAACATACTCGTAAATACTAGCGATTTATTCCAGTATACTCAATATTAGTTTAGAAATGGCGAAATACATTAATCAGAATCCTTACTAATATTATAAAGGCGAAAGTTTGTATGTATGGATGGATGTTTGTTACTCTTTCATGCAAATACTACTGGATGGAGTTTAATGAAACTTTACAATAATATAGCTTATACATCAGAATAACACATAGGCTATAATTTATGTACATATTTTTAGGTATATAAATTATAGCCTATGTGTGATATCTTTTTGTCTGCATGTTACGTCTAGTTTAGTCACGCCTAGTGTAGTTTAGCCTACAATAGGCTAGACGTAGTCGCGGGCAGCAGCTAGTATCTCATATTTTCATAATTTATTTTTTGTAACTAGGAATATATCGCACAATACAGAGAACGTAATTTTTAACCAATAAATAATTCATAGTAAGTTCTAGAATTCACTACATAAATACTAATATTGTTTTTTTCATCTGAAGCTCGGCCCGCGGCACCTCGAAATTGTTCATTAAACAACAGCAATAATAACACGGAAGGAAATAACAACTTACTGCAGATTCACTGCGTCGCCGGCTATGATGGAGGACTGCCTCAAACTTTTGTTTTGGAGGCGCTAGACCCTATCACTAGTAAAACACGTTACACTGATTCCGTCGCAGAATCTGGTAAGAGTGGGTATCAAGAATTAATAATTTTCCAACACTTCTAAGCACCCAATTCTTAGAATTTCTACGTGCCTAACGCTCAGATGTTCCAGCACTTTTGGAACTTAGGGAAACTATCACACCGCGTAGTACACCTAATGCTGCGAGAGCTAACGACGTCGGGAAAGCAAGAATTTCAGGTAGGCCAGTTTTTAGATATGCTATCCCCCTCACTTTCCCAGACGTCATACGGGCTTGCTGGCTGGCGTTAGAGGTTGCGTTCATCAGTGCGCATCGTACCTGTACAGGTAAAATTCAAGAACTTTTTGTAACATGAATCTATTATTACAAGATATTTATATTGTTTTTTAAATTGTGCCAAACGCTAATTTTGTATTAAAGAAAATAATGTTTTCAAAATATTTTAGCATGGCTGAAATTTTAATATGATTATTAAGTATCTAAAAGCCCAAAATTAATATGTTAAACAATAATTAAATTGTTAAATCTTCAGCCAAACTGATCCAAAAGTGAAAAGTGATTGCATGTTGGAAGAGTACAATGTACGATGCGCACTGATGAACGCAACTTCTACCGCCAGCCGGATAGCCCGTATGACATCGGGGAGAGTGAGAGAGATAGCATATCTAAAAACTGGCTTACTTGAAATTATCTCTGGAAAACGTTGTTAGCTGTTAGACTATAATAAGGCACACATTTGACCCTTCCCTGATCCTATTTATAGGAAATTAGGCAGCAACCATAGTTTTTGAAGGGTCTTTATTTAGCGATGAGGCTTGTGACAAACCGCTACTTTTTAAATTTTTAATTGTAAAAGAAACCGAAACAATGATAAGATCAATTTAGTTCTTAAGAAATCATTTATATTTATAAAATCAATTTCTTATTATAAAATTAATTAAATTGAAACGTAACTAATTATTATGATAAAACAAGAATGACCACTTTTAGATGGAGCGGCTACGTTCTGGATAGATTTATCACGTATTTCATCTGCAAGTGTCTCTGAAAGTAGCACTTTTAATCTTCTTATCTACGCTAAAAATAGTAAAGGAGAATCAGAGAGAACACTTCTAGAAAACATAGCTTTCAATGACGCCGAGAAACATACAGGTAATTGTGCAAAAAAGGTTTCCTTATTCAATTTAATTATTTTATATTATTTAAAAGATAATTTGGACAAAGGGGCTTAGCTTAATGACTTTAACATGTTTTAAATGCTTCCCAGGTGATTATCATAAAAATTTTAAAGTAATACTCATTATATTTTATACAGTAATTTTTCTATTTAACAGACGGAAAAGGTGCTATGGGTAACATCACGATGGGAGTGGTTGTTGCCGCTGCCCTTGGAGTCATACTAGCTATTCTTAGTATAGTTCTCGGAGCTTTTTGTACCCGTCGCCGCCGTTCACATGCACCACACAAGCATCCTCCAGGTGATATGTTGGAGCTAAGCGATGGTGGCCGGAGATACGTAGTTGCATACACAATAAAGCCATCTTTGGAAGCAAAAACACCCGATCCACAACCTGATATTTTGAATGCTCCCGGTAAGCATTGTCAATAAAGAACTAAGTATTAAAACTACATACATTAATGATGATCAGTAGCAATCTCTTTCTGTCCATGTCAATATAGGTGTTATTTTTAATAAATCATAAGTTTAAGGGAATTATATCATACTTTCTAGGTATAATTTTCTCACGCTTACATAAAAACTTCCGTTGCTTGCTGATTAACTTTTAAACATCAATCAACATCAGCATGTATGGATCCTATTGTCTATTTAAACCATTGGACAAACACTTTCAGCAGCTTTTGTGGGTGCATTCATACATTCTATCATTTTCCACGAACGTGGCTTACATTTCTAAACTTACCTTCTCACCTAACGTCTATTGTCAGTTGAATGTACGAATCGATGTTTTTGTTACCATTTTCATTGATTAAAAGCAGTTTTAATAAATTAGACAAAAAAAAACACTTTTAAAAAAGATCACAAGTACAAAATGAATGGTGTTTTGGCTATTTATGACATTCCACCATTTCTATACTTTTAATCTATTTTGAGCAGATATCGAAAATCAACCGTCACCTCACAAAACCATAGAGACTGCAGAATGGCCCGCCGTAAACGAGCTTCGGGGTAATTTTGTAAATCACTACTTTAACGCTTTTTAAGGAAATTTGCTTAAATGTCTATTAACGAATTACTGTGAATATTTTTTGATTTACCTTTAAGGTGATTGGGAAAACACTTGTCCAGTATTTTCAGCTGATGACTTAGCACTTTTGGATTCCGCCGTGCAATCACATCAGGTAATAATTTAGTAGAATGTTTAAAAGGAAAACACCTGATATTTTTTAAATATTCCGTATCCGTTTACAGTTAACGCCTGATCACGATAATGTCTCAAGTAACAGACAACAAGACGTAATCAATCAAAACTTATCATTGGACTTCTCAAATAACTACAGGAATAATTTTATTGAAACGAAGAGTCCAACATTAGGGAGTCCTAACTTTGTTTGTCCAAATGGAAACGGGAGTCCGCCTTTCGAAAATCATTCCACGTTGAGCCTTACCGGACCTACGCTCAGCTCAGGGAGTATAACGACTTCCACATTGCAGAGAAACAAAGGAAAAAACTCGGCACGAAGAAGAGAACACGTTTTAGCAGAAAATTTGCCAGGGCCTGAAAGTTGCGTATAAATATTATAAACAAGATAAGATCAAATATCCTTCTTATTTTTATAAAGATTTAAAGGAAAAAAATATGTCCGCACATTTCGAATAAAGTTTTCTTATGACAACATAATAAAAATATAACGCATTCTAACATTATCATAATTTACTACTTATATAATTCGGTTCCTGAATTATGATGATTGATTATGAAAAGGTCCCTTACTTATGGTTTGATCTTCTGGCAATCGAATCGTTATAATGAGCTTAGGTGCAACCATATATTATAATGTAATCATATGACAGTTGTGCGTTTTCTACGTAAGAGGGGCGGTAAACTTTAAATTAATGTCTTTTGTAAGTCAACGTCTACAGAAAAAAATAATGGTTTTCTTAAATTTATTTTAACGGGTGTGGGATATTATGAACATATAAATTATCTCTAAGTTGAACAAAACGCTTTAGATTTTGAAACTATCAGTTATTGTAAAAAGAAACACCTTGCTCAAAAAGATTTTGGATTTCTTTTTAATCACGCGATCTTTTACCAGATTAATATTTGGAAGACTGTATAACTATTGTAATAAATATTATTAAGGTTCGATTAGATAATTACTAGTATTATAAAACCTCTGATAAATATAAGGCCGAACATGTACAACCCTTTGGCTTTGTATAGGTATGAGAATTGCATACTTGCTTGTAGATTCATGTGCTTTCTTTTTTAATACTTGGTTGTGTGAATGTACATATACTCCTTTAAACTAGTGATTGTATTTATTATACATAGAGAAATTGTATTATTACGTTTTGTAAAAAGTTGTGACTTTGTAGTGATATAAAAACAAATTAATGATGAATCAGTTGTTACGACTTTTGTTATCAATATTGTTCAGAGTTTACACGTTAAAGTCATTCAAGTCATAAAAATAATTTAATTTAATTTGACAACCAACGAATTGTAGCTATCAATGTTAGAAAAGAGCTTCGTTGATTACAATGTCCTAGAACGAGATTTTATATTCAGAAATAAATTATTATTTCTAAAAAAAAACGTTTTATTATTTGTACATTCATAAATTACACGTGTTTAAAAATGATTATCAGTCGTTAGTTAAAATCGTAAAACAAAAGTAAACACCTCATTTCATTTCTAATCATCGTCGTTACGAACTTTAATTTGAATGAGCATCTTTTAATATTACTAAATAAATATGTATGTCCGTATGTTTTCTAATACATCTTATCTGTTTATCATTAAGTATTTAGTTAATATATTACTTTATCGTTAAAATTAGTTCGGGTCATAGATTGTTTACCTTAGATTCTACCGTTAATAGTAAAACTAAGTCGTGGACTAAAGCTTGGTGAGTATTATCTTTTATGAAGGTGGTTGTCTTAGTGTATATAAAAACTCTTTAAAGAAACGCATGATATTTCTGAATATTTTTTTTAACTAACACAATCATGAGCAACCAATCTCGTGAGATCTTACCATTCCACGAGCTCTCCATTCGATGAAGTTTTAATAGTCTATGGACTGAAAGCATAAACATCAGTTCATCATAAGTAATAATAGGGGCTAATACATGGCAGATATGGAACAATATTTATTAAGGCTACATACAGATACGTGTGTACAGATCCCTTTCCGCATTCATGATGAAATCTTTCTAAGTATGTCTTCATAGCAAAATAAATGAAGCTAAAAACGTGGTATATGATATGTCGTCAATATTAACACGACATGAAATCAGTAAAGTAGACACAGAATTATTTATAACCTCAACCCTATTGAAGGTTTGTGGTTTGAGCAACAATGACTCTTTGAACGAAACGACTACAATATAAAATCGATCAAAAAGCCCATCGACGCGAAAGCCAACTTTTAACTTCTCTTAAATATAAATACAATCATATGGAGAGTTAAAGTTATTATTTTATTAGTCAATTCACCCCGTGGTAGCTACTTAGTGAAAACATTAAAATTTTGAGTTTCGTCTTGTGAGTGAGTTAATCGGGGCCCCCTTTTTTACAGATTTGCAACTTTACAGGATGTAAATATCTATGGGCGGCAGTTATCACTTAATATGAAATAAGCAAAAGGTTTCAATTTTGTTTTAACTTGCAAAATCCTTTATATCTATATGAAGCAATTAATATTTCGAAATGGATTCGATATTCACAATTTCAATTTGAAAACTTTTGTACTGTTACGTGATTGTTATATCTCGATCAGATGAATTTAAATGGTTTTTAATCTAGTAATGTCGAATTACTACTACGTTGTGACCCAGTGATAAATGAAACTTTAACTAAAATACATAATTGTGACGAAAAGTTAAGATTTAATTTAACATTAGATTATTAAAAGTTAATTTTTTGGTGAATGAAAATAACAGAATTTTTCATAATTTAAAGCTTTATTGGGACATATCAGCATATGTCATTAAATATTTTTGTTATACTTATAATTCAGAAAAATTACAGCAGCATTACGTGCCTACTAAAATAAATATTCTCATTTAAGCTATTATTTAAGAATTAAATATTTTTAGTAAGCATATAAATACTTTAGTAATACTAAAGTATATTTTAAGTTAATGAATATGAATGTAACCTTAATCTAAGTAAGTTAAGCTGTCGTTTTTTTGCATTATTTTAAATTTAAATATCAAATTGATGTGGTGATATCCAAAACGGCGAAATTATTATTTAAAGAATATCAATTGTTAATATTCAATTTAGAAAAGGTTTATAAGACAAACTTATTGCTAAGATATCTTATCTTACCTGATATCTAAATAAAATATTTCTATGACACATGTGAATCCTATTTACGATAGGACGGAGGGTAATAAATTTAGAAAGGAGCGTTGCAAGTAAACGTAATTTCGATGCCGAGCACGATCTTTTAAGAGTTTAGAAGTCTTAATATATACGTGTGCTCTAAAAGCGGCCTGTAATGCACTTCAACTTTAGTCTATATACTACATAATACAGAGTATATATATATATTAATTGTGATTCAAATGTACGTGCCTTTGAACATATTATACTATTGTTTGATAAAAATTCAAAGATTTCAACACAAAATTTTCAACTTAAAACCTATAGGGTACTTCCGATTAACCTAGAATTGTCAATTTTAGTTAAAAGCAAGTACTAACAGCACAAGTAAAGGGAAAATTCTGAAAAATAAATTTGAAAGTTAAGGTAAATTTTGGTACTTACAGTTTTTCGTGAAAATCTAAATTTGCCCATTTTTATCGTGTGTTAATTCAGGACCTTGATTTTTATACACTTAATAAAGACTATAGAACTCCGTATCTGATATTAATTTCGTATCCGGTTTAGACACAATATTTGTATTAAAAAAGCATACGGGCTGTCTATGGCTTGGGTCCACGTGAGTCACTACGGCATTTATTTAAGCTAATAAACTTTTTAACGCTCCCGTCGCTTTACATGCCTGAGAACATCATATATGTACGTAATAATATCCACCTATTTATGAAAAAACATTCCACATCGGGGTCGTGGTGACATTCTGGAAGCACCGAGGTTTAGACTGGCTAAAATCAGAAAGTCGTTTCTTGGTAGATGCATCAACTTTTATAATAAAATAGGTGACATCCACAAACAACTAAGTATAAACAATATTTCAAACAATTTGTAAATGCTACCTTAATAGCAAGGGCCAACTATAATGTCCAAGAATACATTGAGGACAAAGATGTGTGGAAATGACTCTTGCTCTGCACTTGCAAGACCCCTGGCTGCTGCTGATTTTATAACTAAATAAGTTTGTATAATTGCATCACAAAAAAAAAATAACATAAAGAACAAGTCCGCAGAATTTCTTGCCGGTTCTTCTCTGTTCAGATCTAGTTTATTTTTATTGTTGACGTTCAATATGAGCTTAAGTTAAGCGTATATTGAATAAAGATACTTTGACTTCACTTAACTTGAAAATTTCAACTTGCTACGTCCACTTGTTCCTGAGAAAATCGGTGGTATAATGGGTACGTACAGAACCCTCGGAGTTCGAATCACACTTTTTTTTTATTTCACAGCACGACGTTTTAAAAAATAGCTATTTGCGAATATGGGTGCAATATCCATCGAGACATCGTGGTGTATGTTGATGTTGATGATATAAAATTCGTAAAATCTAAAAACAGAAAATTTGATTTTACGACAACATAATATTATAAAGTTTATAAGTAAAACAATTTTTATAATTAACTATCTTATCCAATGTACATAATGGAAGAAACGGTCTTTTAATTTATTTTTTTCTTCTAATTTTTAATTATCCTTTTAAACTTTTTATTCTTTATTAACAATATTCTTTGTAATAAACTATAATATGTTTGATGTACATCGTTTCCGAAATACTTCAGCCTATGAGCCCCATAGTTAACTCTAGATTCGCGCCTGCTCCGGTGACATTTATAGCCTTCCAGGAGGGATCAATTAGATTAACCGGGCTAAGTTCCTGCACTTAGATGCTACAAAAAGATGGGTGCCGATTGCCTGTCAATTCATTAATGTGGCAGGCTATCAGTGTGGAGAGTTCTCGTACTTTACGGATAGGTTTATGCAACTACAATATATTATGTCAGTCGTCAAGGACGAACTTTTGTAAAAAAAAAATGCAAAGCTTGCTAATAACTTATAAACATAAGAAATTGTTTTATGCATCAAAGTATGCGTCCAAATTATTGTATACTTTTTTACACTTAAGCCACAGGTTGTTCAAGCCATACAATTATGGTAGAGCCACGCAACAGTCTTCGCTGTTGCACGAATAAGCAGGCCCGTCTGGGTAAGTACCACGACCTCACAGAAGAGCGGAGTGAAGTGGAAGCGTTACGCTTCCGAATTTCGTCTAGTGAGGGAGGCCCACTTTGTTAAAAGGTGTAACCCTATGTGTGTTGCAGATGTCCATGGACGGCGGTTATCACTTATGCTCCGGTGAACCACCTGATAATGGCACCTTTTCACA